CCCATTTTCCACCTCAACAACTCCCATCAAGGTCATCCATCTACTCCACACTACCCAGTCCAGCTGTCAAGCTCAGTGTTCATTGTCCTTAACCTTCCAGAGACCTTTGGCATGGTTGATTGCCCTTGGTTTTGGGAGGGGGGGGCAGAGGGAGAGGGAAAGAGACAGAATCTTAAGCAGACTTCACATCCAGTGTGGCACCCAATGCAGGGCTCAATCTCCTGACCATGAGATCATGACCTGAGCCAAAATCAAGAATTGGATGCTTCACTGAGTCACCCAGGCACCCCACCCTTGCTTTCTTATGTGACTGTACTGAATTCTTAAGTCACTGAAAAGGTCAATCCTTTTCAGTCTCTTTACGGCTTCTTGATTTCTCCCCAAACCCTAAATGTCAAAATGTTCCAGAACTTCATCCTTTAACCCCGTTCTCTAACTTCACTCATTTCCTTATTGTCATATAGCTTTAAATACCATCTATAGATACATTGATAACTCCCACATTTATAATCAGCCTACCTGATCAGTTTCTCACGATTGTGTTTTCAGCAAACAACCTTTAGGAATGAGGTAACTGCTCCCCCATCCTACCCCAACAAGGAGTAGGCTTGCTTCCCTTTGCTGTAAAAGTAGCTCAACGCTCCTCTCCTGTAATGGACCCCATTATATGTGCAGGGGTCCATCATGGCCCAAGGGGAATGCCTCAGAGATATAAAGCTGATGCTGGCTGCTGAGCTCTGAGTAATAAAATCCTTTGTCTCTGACCCAGCATCCATGAAACAGTAACAGGCTAACTTGCTAGCTTATTGAGTAAATCCCAAACGCTGCACAGTTCTTAATATTAAGTACTTATGCTTCCTTTTATAAGCAACTTAACACTTTAACTCAAATAAATTACATATTTGTAACAAAGGGTTTACTCGCAAATGTTCAAGTTTATGACTTTCATAAGGATAAAAGCTCTACACAGAATGAAGTGTTTGACAGAAATGCTTCTCCCTCCTCCTATGGATGGCTTTGGCCAACACCTTTACAGCATTATTTTGGAAATTTTGACTAAAATTTGACTAACAAAGAACATTTTAGAGCCTGGTACTATGTAGAGAAACTTCTGGCATTCCTTAAGGAATCTCTTAAACTTTAATGCTTAAATGTTGATGTGAATGCTGAGAAATTTAGGAAGGTAGTTGGGAAGTTATTTTTGATCAAGGATCCTTTTAGCTTCCCCCAAATCCACCCATTCGTTCACCCTAAGCCAGGGCCTGTACAAGCTCTTCTGAGTTCCTTAGATGAGATTTTTCATCCATCTGCTGCTTCTGAAAGTGATCCCTTAAGACAGTCATGCTTCTAGAGACGACTCATTTCTCTGATTCATTCTTAACGAAGATCCACAACTAGCAGGACACACAGCCAGTGGCTGTCGTCCTTATTTCTACATGTGTGAAAACCAAATCCTGCCAATTCTTATGTAAGGCCTGCAGGCCAAAACAAATCAATCTCATAGACAAATCCTACTTGCAAAAACGACTCAATCTCTTACACAAGAAGTGGTGTTGGAATCTAGTCTTAATGTCATTTGCATTCATTTACTATGTCAAAAAAGATGGAATCTACGCAGTCAGAATTCGCAGTACATAGGAGAAAATCATTTAAATGTTCTAACTATAGAGATGGATGGTTTTAGTGGGAGAGAAGTGTCTTTAAAATTACTGACTCCTTCAAAACTATATTAAAAGCAGACATAATCGGGACTATCCTGGTATTATTTACTTTGTGTGTCTTTGCTGTTGGCAAGAATGCATATTATTCCATTTCTTGGAGATAAGCAGAAAGCCACAGGGACTATTTCAACTCATATTCTGGGAAACCAAGAACTATACAACAGTCAGCCGTCAACAAATTGGTGATTAACATGATGTCTAGACAGGTTCTCATGAGAATAACATTATTAATTAAGCAGCAGTTTGGTTAATCATGATAGCAAGAGTAATTTTTGGAATAAATATTTTATTAGTGTGCCCATCAATAAAGCAAAAGTAAAAGAATATATGTTAATTAATTCATTTGTTGTAACATTGAGATTAAGGCTGGCAATTTCTGTTTGAAGGCCCAGAGAATAAGCTAATATTTTTAGTATGGCATGTCTTTATCTTACTGCTTCCAGCTAATGGTACTGTATATTTCAATTACCTAGCCAAAATTCCTTTCTTGTCATCTATCAAGATATTATTAAGCTCCATTAGTGAATAATTGAATTTGACAAATTTTCTGTTGCTATACATTTATCTGTTCTTTTAAAACCAGGTGTCTCCCGTTTCATCAGTAACAAAAACTTCACCAAATGAGGAAAGATAGTGAACTTTAACTATAATTAAGACCCTGATCTTACTTTTCATCAGTCAAAAGACTCATTTGGAAGAGAAGTAAATATATTGGCCACTTCTCTTCAGTACACAGACAATAAATCTTTCCAGAAAATACAGTTTACCTGGTATTTTTGGCATAACTCATAGCCCTAAACTACAAGGAAGAAATATAAGACAATAAAATTAAGTAAAAAAAAATATTTCTTAAAAAATTATTCAGGTGAACTTGCTCTCTTTTATCTCTATAAAAGAACATCTGTGGAAGCTTAGGTTGGTGAACACTTAGGGATTTGTGGTACACTCAAGAGGGCATGGGAGCTCTGCACTTTTCCCCACACCTTGCCCCATGCATTGCTTTCACCTAGCTATTCCTGAATTATATCCTTTTTATAATAAACCAGTAATTAACAGAAGACCACAAATTATATAAGGACCTGAAGAACATCCTGAGTGCAGTGAAAGTGGTGCATGAAAGTTCAAAGGGAATTTCAGAAAGCCTGCAGGAGATCAACAGCAGTAAGTGGGACAGTCATGAGGACCCCATAACCACTGCAGGGAATAATGACCTCCTTTAGGAAGACTACGAAGAGAAATGAGCTGACCAGGCTTTGAGAATCATGGAAAACTATGTAGTTTCATTCAGCGAGATGAAGAAAAGAATTGCTAAGTGGGTTGGAAACTCATGGACGGTGACAGTGCCCAGCACCACCTGTAGGTGTTGCATTATGCCGAGAAGAAAGAGGAGGGCAGTGTGGCCAGGGTGAGGAAGAGTTCATCAAAGCCCAGACTGTGTTTAAAGCTAACTGTAGGGGCACCTGGGTGGCTCAGTGGGTTAAGCCTCTGCCTTCAGCTCAGGTCCTGATCTCAGGGTCCTGGGATCGAGTCCCGCACTGGGCTCTCTGCTCAGCGGGGAGCCTGCTTCCCTTTCTCTCTTTCTGTCTGCCTCTCTGCCTACTTGTGCTCTCTATCTGTCAAATAAATAAATAAAATCTTAAAAAAAAAAAAAAAGCTAACTGCAGTTGTTGCAGTCTGAACCAGGAACCACTAAAGGAGCTGCCTATTCTTTATGATAGTGTCATAGCCTGTGACCATCTTCCAAAACATTTCTAAGTTGAGGGACATCTTCTACGGAGAAATGAACAAACTCAACCACAATTTCTATGAGGTGATGAACAAGCTGAAGAAGCAACATTCCAAGAGTTTTGCTGGTGAAGGGACCGTCAACCAGCAACAGATGCTCTTTGGTCGTCTCTTCCTCGGTTCGAACACCTACGGTTCTAGGCTTCTTAGCTCACCAGTCCCTCTGCATTTTCCTGAAAGAGGGAGATGAAATCTGCCTCAGCAAGTGAAGAACTAGCACTTGAGCCTGCCCCATGTAGACAGTCTGGAGGTGAATTCCAGATTCAGGTTCTTCATCTGCAGGCTGGTCACAAACCCTAGATAGATTGTTCTCTGTATTGAGAACTTCAGTCTTTGACACCAGGACTATCGGAAACATTTCCTTTCCGAATGTTATTTTATAAGGGGGAGGGGGGATAGACTTTAACAAGAGAGAGAAGTAAGAACACAGACTGTATGACCACTAATTAGGTATGTATTTTTTTATCAAAGTACTCAAGAGTAATTTTAGACTCGACGAGATGCATTCATAATTCTGTCCTCCAGGAACTGCAGTGTCTCCAGCTCCACAAAGTAAGAATTGCCTTCTCAGTATGATAAGTACGGAAAACAACATGAAAATCTAGAAAGCCTACACTTTGGCACCTGCATTTATTTAACCACTAGTAGCCAAAGTACAAATTATCTCTTCAATGTCATTGTATGATTAATGACCTCAAAGTTAATGCATTTTCTTAAGGTATAATTAACAAAACAATTTAGTATTTAAATAGAATTTATAGTCTCAGAGCATTTCAAATAATTAAGTAGATGATTGGTATTTAATTTACAATTAACATATTTTGATTCCTTTTATAGCCATAAAATTGGCTATTAAATATTAAATAAATAAATAAATAAATAAATGGCTATTAGATATTAAAATAGTTGTAGTAATAATGAGTGCTACTACAAATTGTTCTCTAAATAGTCCAAACTTTAAAATATATGTTCTGAATAATCTGAGGTGATTTTAAAAGTATGAGAACTGTAAATCCCAAGTCAAAAGCTAAGTCAAATATCTAGAAAATATTTCCCATTCCTGTGTACTGTTTTAGAAAGTTATTGCAGCTAAGCAGTAATAGAAAAGCTCTTTAAAATCACAGCTATTTTGGGGGCACCTGGGTGGCTCAGTGGGTTAAGCCTCTGCCTTTAGCTCAGGTCATGATCTCAGAGTCCTGGGATGGAGCCCCGCATTGGGCTCTCTGCTCAGTGGGGAGCCTGCTTCCCCCCTTTCTCTTCCTGCCTCTCTACCTGCTTGTTCTCTCTCTCTCTCTCTCTGTCAAATAAATAAATAAAATCTTTTAAAAATAAAATAAAATCACAGCTATTTTTTAAAAACAAGATTTTTTTCCTATTAAGATTCACAGACATCATTATTAGTACTCTTTGTCTTTATTTTATTGGATTATATAGGCTTTTCAGTTCTGGATATTTGGCATCAATTCTTAAAGTATTTTTTTTTCTCTTTTGCAGTTGGTTGGTTTTGTGTATGCCTGTTATGTGATCAGTATTTTCATGGAAGAAGAGGACACCTGTAAGTACTATTATAGCTACTTGTGGGTTTATTTTGGGTGAGCTATAGCTTCCAAAGCTAATCATTAGAGGGCTATGAAAGCTTTCATAGCTGGAATTTAAAATTCTTGAATGAAGCCCAGTAAAGTCACAATCAAATGTTTGCAAGCAGAACTGCTCACAAAGAAGATGGCACTAAGGTTTGAAACTCTCAGTCCCCACTGTATGTGTGGCTGCCCAGAGTCATGGAGATCTACAGATTGTTGTCATATCATGTCTTAGTAAATTTTCTTCAAAGATCTAAATATAACGTGGAATAGAAAATCGGGGATTATTTTATCCATGATCCATCTTAAGTACGCTACTGAAGAATTTTGACATCTGACTAATACCAATAACATCAATACAGTACATCATAGCAAGAATTCTAGCAATGCAAATTATATAAAATGCTCCACAAAACTAGAAATGACAACCTTTAAGGTGAGATGTAAAAAAAATTTTTTTTAAAGAAATGCTATAAAAGAACTAAGAGGATGCTAGAAAGCTAAGTATTTGTGTTTCAGCAGAATACTACCAATGAAATAAAAGACAGAGAGGACCTGACATTACCAGGGCAGAGGTTTAGCAACATATGCCAAAAGCCCACTGATGTTTAAGGCACATTTCGGTGCAACTGTTATGAGCTCATGTGATACCAAAGAAAATTTTACTTTATTTATAAAAAATAAGTCATTATTAGATAAACAAATCCCACCCACCTATCTCAAAGGTTCAGTTATATCATCGCAGTTACTGTCTGGGTTATAAAGTTGACCTTTAAAAAAAAAACAAGTATGAGTGTCCTGCTAGACATGGTGACCTCTTTCTAGAGCATAACTCCAAAGGGGTCTGATGAATGCTTCCTACCAAATAGATGCAGTCACAGTGCATGAGCTGGAATCCACAGTGAGGATTTATTTAACCAACTGGAAGAAATATGGGACCCTGAGATTAAATTCTCAGGTAGTGAAAATGTGTGAACATACTGAATTCTATCTTTTACACTGGCTTAGGGGTATTTTTTTTTTTAAATACTAGATGAACCAGAAAGTTTTTGACATTTCAGAAGTGCTGTTGTAATGACAGCACTTCCCACTCTGAGGTTAACGTCAGAACGTATATTTTCAGGAGTTCCATTAGTAGCTCCCCAATCTGACAGAGTTAACCCACAGAAAATCAGCAGCAGGTTTCCAACCTACAGCTGAGACAGGTGTATCTCCAAAAACATGAGACCTAAAGGAAATTATTAGAATAAACACTTCAAAAAAAAAAAATACACTGCCTGATAAATCCCAACTGAATCCCTCATAAAGTAAGTTTGAATCAGTACCAAAAGTGCCTGTTTCTTGTTCTCCTCACTGAACTCGGAGCCTCTCATTCTCCAGATTACTGTATTGTGGGAGAAGAGGCAGATTAATCAATAATGTTTTCTCCATTAGAATAAATATATACAGGACTTTTCCTTGAGGCTTGTGATTTTAAGCAAACCTTGGAAATCCAAAATGACATGCAAAAGAAAAGGCTCATCTACACTGGGTAAAGGATTTATTTTGACCTTCTGTCAGCCTTCTTTCAAAGTAATAATGTCGGTGGCTATGGATTGTATTGCTACTGGCAGATATTACAGTGCCGTTGACTTTGATGTCTTTAATTAGCTTACGTTTCTCTGTAGAAATCTCTGAATCAGCTATTTGAATGTTCCTCAAACTGGCATTCAAGCAGCTGCTGGAAGCCTATGCTATTAATGGTTTAATTCCAGTGTTTGTTAGGAGGGCCATGCATTAAGTTACCAGGAGACATCTGGATATAGTAGTCGTGTTACCATCAATTCAAACAAAACATAGAGCCAGAAAAAGTTGTGGGTGGGTGCTCAAGACAAAATAAATATGCCCTACACTGACTTGACATGATGATCTACTGGAAGAAAGACGACAGGGAGAAAGCAATCACAAACCTTTTAGTCTAATAGTTCTCAAGTGAGTGTAATTTTACATTTTTTATTGAAAGAAGTCGAAATCAAAGTGCAGTTGTAATTAAATTGTCCCAGAGTCTTCAGAAGGCAGATGTGAGCAAAGAGAAATGTCTGGAAACCAATTGCAATGATCTCATAGACCAGTCCAATCTGTGCCAACACTTAGCTTTCAGGTGCAATAACGAACCGCCCTTTGGATATGACATTACCGACCCACAGTCAAAAAGAGGTGTCTTTTGGTTGTTTTTTTCAAAATGTAAACCTACAGTGAGAAAGCCGTACTGGTAGCTTTCCAATTTGTCTAAGTATACTTCTGGAAAGCCAATTCTGAAAGGTAACTGCAAATATATAATGTAATGTCACAGTATTTTGGCAGACAATGTATCATTTATCATTTCGATTCCTATTCTAACTAATGAAAATCTCTGCATTATTCAGAATGCAAAGTTAAGCCTTGTTCTTGGACTGAAAGCTGTCTGCCAGCCTTAAAAATTAATAACAGCTACCCGCTCTCTCTTCTGCACCACCTAAGTGGTTCTATGGGACTAACATTTCAGCTGATGGACATGTCTGAAGGGTAATAAATGCTTGAGGAAACATTTATTTCCAGCCACCCATCTTCTTAGTTACCTCTTGGCCTCTTCTGCTAACTATATCTCTTCTAAAGACTCGGATTGCAGGTCAAAGACAATGAAATAAAAAGCTCAAACAGGGAAGAATGCTGTTTGATGGGGTCAGAACTTCCCATCACTCATTCCAACGAAGAAACCTATTTATAGCTCTTGTTTCATTTTTATTTCTTTTTTTAATATCTATCAATCTCTATGAACACTTTTGTGAGACCAGGGTATTTGGAATCTGTAATCACAAAAACCTGTCGATGTCTTGTTTGTGAATCATCTGCTGCTGAAAATGAACTTGTAGGCTTGTTACTATCTTGTCACACTTATGAAAAACAATGTTTTTAATTCAGGGAAGTGTGTAGGCAAGGCAAAAGATGCTGAAAAATAGTATTAACGTATATAAATATTATCAGGCTTCTACTGAGGATCTGTTGCGATCCTGATGACTGCTTCTGATATCAGTTTGTAAATTGCGCCTAGGACATCGGTTTGGTCTCACAAAAGCCAGTCTGGGTTGCATACGTTGAATAGTCAGAGAAATGTATATTGACAATCCTAAGAGTTAGTTTTTGAGAAGGAAATAAATCCCCCCCAGATGCAGTTTCGATCATTTACATTGAAATTCTCGAAATGACTCTTTATGCCACCATTTGACCCTTGCTAATATACTTTTGGGGAACTTCTCATTGGAAGGAAGCATGACTCTTGGAAAAATATTCCATACTCAACTGTCCTTGAAGCTTCCTGCAGGCTGGTGTTCATGTATTTTCCTCTCTGCCCATAAATTCCTTTTTAAGAGTATAAGATGATATTACCATAGCAGTGATGTGACTTGGAAATAAATAACCCTGTCTACCTTAAAAATAAAATAGTCATCAGCAAAATTCATTTCTTTGGTAACAGCAGAGGAATCGTAATTTGGGACAAGCAAACGATGGGGAACCACAGGCAAGTCGCAAGAGACAAAGGGAAAGTCGGCTGTTATTGGGTTGTAGGAGGAAATTAGGGAGGGTTATTTTAAACAACAGTTGCCTGGAGAAGATCAAGAAAGAGTACAAAGTTGCGGAGTTCCTCATTAGTTTAAGCGTGGTTACTGCGTTGCTGGAACAGGGAGGGATCTTCCTTCTTTTTCTTAAAAGTGGAAGATGAAATTCCTATGTGAATTTTACTATGTCAAGCTAATTCTTACCTTCCTTCTTCCTGCTGATTCCACAGCCTGATACACTTGCGAGAGGTGCCCCTTCAGCGCTTCCCTGTTCCATTTTAAAGATCTATTGATTTCTTCATTTTGAGAGAGGGGTTGGTGGGGGGCGGCAAGGAGGGAGACAAAGTCTGAAGCAGACTCTCTGCTGAGCATGGAGCCTGATTCCATTTTAACTGAGATTTCCTTCGTTTATTTTCACAACCCTTATCTCCTCCTAAGAATTTACCAAAGCTGTTAATGGGAGGACGATTGGGTAGTTTGGGTGTTAACTTCCCAGTGTCCCTTCCTGGCTCTGTAATGTTTGCAGAAGCCTTAGGGAAGGAGAGTGACCCAAAAGTGGGGCACCAAGGGAAGGAGAGAAATCAGCAGAGGATGGAGGATCCTCAGAATAGAAAACGGCCCATTGTCTCGTGAGCCTTGCAACACACAGGCATTTGAAGTGAAGGGACAGAAGAATTTGCTGAGTCAGAAACAAAAATGCAGGTATGATCCTTTAGTCACAGCCAACGTTTCAACGGAGTCAGAACATTTGTTCAATAAGCCATCGAGAATCTACTGATTCTCAGAGAGGATAAATTTCTTTGGGTAACTACACAGTGGGGTTGTACCCAACTAACCTCACCACAGTTTAGACTTAGAGCCTGAAGCATCTCCCCTAATTTGATGAGAAGACTTTATCAAATAGCTACAGAATTACTAGCTAATCTTCCTACCAGAATAGATGATTGTTGAGGTCAGGATCTTTATTTTGTTTCTGATTTAATCCTAGAGCCTAGAAAATGCCTTGCACATAGCGATAAAGAAATGATTGCTGAATTTATAGGGCAAAATTCTCTTGGCCTAGCAACTCATTTTTAAAAATGGATTTCAAAACCCCAAGATTTTCAAATTTAATGAAATGATACTGCCTTACGTTTAAGCACTGAGTGAGATGCCTGATGCACGAACAAATATTTATGTTTGGCAAATGGCATTCCTACATCTCTTTAACAAAATTGGATGAGTTTTAGTAATTTTGAAGGTCAAGATGCAGGGAAATGGATTAAGCTTCTACTATACCACATCAGAGCAAGAGCTTGGGTTTGTCAATTCCTGGACAAGATATCACAGAGGGAACAGGGACCTGGAAGGTAGATGCACTCCCAGAATGAATTCAGTTACAAAATCTGGCCGAGGGAAGA